AAAAAAAAAAAAAACCAAACAAACAATCATAATCTTCTTATTACCCATTTACAATAACAAGGAGAAGGTAGGGGAAGGAAAAGAAAGAGCTCTCTCTAGCCTGGATAAGATTTAAGAAAAATCTCAGCCTTGGCTTCAGCTCCCAGGAAAGCTTGAGAGGTGAAAGAGGGCCATGCGGAGGTCAGCAGGTGATTTACAGGATGGCAATGCAATGGCACCTAAAAAATTGAACAAGCTAGAAATTAAAGCAAACCATGGAGAGATAGCTAGGAAGCAGCATGACCCCCAGCCATCATGGAAGTGAAGGCTGTGCAGCAAACAAGGAAAGATGGGCCCAGAGAAGTTCTTGAGGTGATTTCGTTGGAGGTAGAATTTGGGATTTCCTTTTTTCCTTGGAATAGCCTGCTGCAGTCTGACACAATGAATGCAGGCACTTTAATCTATAGCTTGTAGATTAAAGGCAGAACTTTTCAGAACCATCTAAAGGATTTGGGAGCTTAAATTGCACTGCAAATTCCAGAGTAATCTGACCTGTAATTAATTAGACTCTTCTGGAGTATCTCTGCCTTCTGTTTTTAAGGTGGTTTTTTTTTTTCCCTTGCAATCTCTGAGAAAGTGTTTCAAAATCAGGACGTGATTAACTGGAGCATCCCACATTATAGAATTACATTGAGCAGGAGAACGTATGCAAGTGTTATTTCTGATTTCTGCTTCTTCATGTTTTTTGGAGTCACTGTTAGTTTCTTTCCTGAACAAAGAGATTTGAGGCTTTCTTGAACTAAGCCCCTCTTTATGAAGCCAACTACAGCACACTGGAAGCACAATTATGCGACTAAGATAAGATGAAATGCAGTGGTGATGCACCAATTCATCATGTTTGGGTTCTTCTAATGAAGCCCATTACTCACAGCAGAGAATTTTCTCAAGCAGTTAGTCACCAGCAGACAGCTTTCCCCAATACTCCTCCTTTTTCTGCAGCTGGTGAATAGCCTGGTCCTCCCCTCACCATCCCAAAAGTGCAATATTAGGAAAAGTCAACACCTAAATTAAAAGTAAACAAACAGTATTTAACTTTCCCTTAACCAAAAAAAAAATTAACAATAAAACAGAACACCTTTCAGGAGCAAGCAAACCTTTTTCATTTAATGAAAAAAAAAAAAGATAAAAACAGCCTGCTGTCCATTCAACACTACAGAAAGATACTGAGTATCTTTCTTTAGCTTATTAAAATAAGCATAAAAATAAACTACGTACTAATAACAGCTTGCATAGAAACATTTTGTTTTGTACTTCGTGCAAATCTTACTAAGTAAGGCATGTCTGCGAGCTTAGGGAGCAATGCAGGAGTTATCAGAGAATGCTGAGAAACTGCAAGGAAAATTCCAGGCAGTCTGCAATCCACATCCACTTACACACTTCATTTGACTTCAAAGCCCAACAGCTGATAGCTGCAGATCTGTCTGCGACATAAGGCAATATGGTATGTGTAGGGTCCAGCACCTGCTTTCAGCTACTCATGGGTTTAATACACATAAGATCACTTGAATTCAGCAAACCTGAGCCACTAGTTAAAAAGAAGCTTCGGTTGTGGATTGCTAAGAACCAGGTTTTGGGGAAAGCAAGGGAAGAGGTGAAGAGGACAATGACATCAAGAAGCACAACCCTTCACATACAGGAGTTTTGTGCAGATTGTGCATGTCTTTTTATACTGTGAACTTTCCCCATAGGGAAATGTTTTTTCAAACAAACTGTCTCCGAACAAGTTATCCAGAAGAGTATTTCTGGAACAGAAAAAGCTGACACGTTTGCCTCTCTCAGCCAGCCTACAAGTGTCTATTCCAGAAATTCAACAGGAATTAGTGACACTAAAGAAGGGTGGCTGTATAAAGAGGAAGGGATGAAGAAGGAAGCTGCAGTAAGAGCAGCATCAGAAATCACTCAAATAAGTTACGTAGCACAGAGGCAAATTATAAGGCCTAATCAGAATAATATTTTGCCTCCTTCTTCTCCCTCCAAATCAAGTATTTTCAGGAAATATTGACATACAACCTTCTTTTGTAAGCAGCTTTGCATTAAAAAATCTGTTTAAACTCCAAAAGCTTTTTTAAAACACATTAAAAAAACCCCACTAATAATAATCTTCAAAATCCCCCAGTACTTTGTAACATAAAATGGAATGCTCCTGGGCTAGAGCTGCCAACTCCTTCAGGAACTCCGGGAAAAGGGCAGCTGCAAGTACAGCATTCCTCACGTGTGCAGGAAGGCCAGGATGAGCCAGACCTTTCTTTCCTTTCTGTCCCAGGAAAGGCTGGAGTACTGTCGGGTAAGATTCAGAGAGGTTCCTTCCTTTCCCTGTGTTGCTGCTGTGCTGGACATTACCTAAAGCCAGAGGGAAAGGGATAGGGAGAGGTTAAAGAAAAAAAAAAAAAGGACTCTGTATATTAAGCACACACGGTATCTGTACAGTTCCCAAACCCAGTTTACAAGGATTGTGTTCAGAGCTGTAATTTGCAGTACCCAGATCATGCAGGGAGATACTCCACTTACCCAGCATTTTAAAGTTCTACATGGCCTGATTCTATTACATTTTTTATTAGCTATCTTTCCCCAGGTTATATATTATTCAGTTCCAGCTCTGATGAGAGAAATATACGGTATCTGTACAGTTCCCAAACCCAGTTTACAAGGATTGTGTTCAGAGCTGTAATTTGCAGTACCCAGATCATGCAGGGAGATACTCCACTTACCCAGCATTTTAAAGTTCTACATGGCCTGATTCTATTACATTTTTTATTAGCTATCTTTCCCCAGGTTATATATTATTCAGTTCCAGCTCTGATGAGAGAAATATGTGGGCAGAAGAGAAGGGAAAGATAAGAGTAATATGGATTTACCTTCTAAAATAGCAGATAATATCTACCCATCTAGACCCAGCATGGTTGTCTCCCATTTCACCAATACTGTGGCTCTAGCCCTCCCCCAGATCAAACTGTTGTTTTGACTTGACTTCTCTTTCTGTATCCTCTCCCCATGAATCATCATGTAAATGGGTTTGAGGCCAAGCTATCACATTGCTGCATAAGTTTGAAGCAAGCTAGGAACTAAGGGAAAAAATGTTTGAAAAATTGATTTTTCTGTAGCTAAGGCCCCACTAACTACACTTACCTTTAACTCCATGTAAAGCAACTAAACATTAGAAACAGAGCAAGCAGTAACCACTGTGTGCTCTGCTATATGATCTCTGCTGCCAGAGTTCAGAGGATCAGAGCTCAAGCATCAGAATGCATGGAATTACAGTGATGGCAGTACTTAAATTTCAATCAATTGCTCCTTGTTTCAACCTGAAGCAGAACTGCCTTTTAATTAGATGATCATTAATTTAATGAAACTAAAAGGTGACAAAATGTAGTGCTGATGGAAATAAAAACTTTACAAAGAAAAATTAACCTCTAGAACTCACTGCTACAAGATGTCATTCAGGCCAGAAGTGGAGACAGATAAAATCCTGTCTAACTTACAAGTGGATGTTCTCATGAGCTGTATAATAATTAAAAAAATAAAAGCACTGTTACATTAACTCACATACTGCAGATAAGCCAAACACTACATTGCTGCATGAAGGTTTCCCTCAAAATGCATTGCAGTTTATGTTAAAACAGCTCAGTCTCAAGTGACACCAGCCTTGTTGTGAAACCTCTCGAGCAGCTAACACAGGGGCCGTGGATGAAATGCCTCACTCTGAGCACAGCAATCCCTCTGCTCACAGCTCTGCATTCCCTACCTGCAGCCATCCTCAGGCACTGTGGAATTACCCTACACTTCCAAACACTCGAAAGAATTTTTGGTCTTAATCATTTAACAGACTTGTACTTTTCTTGAGTTTCAAACACCTTTCCAACGCCAGACTTATCAATCATTCATGTTGTTATTCTACAAATGTCTATGTACGAGTGAGAGTGTACAGGAATTTCAATTCTGTGGAAAAATCTGACTGTGGGAGGAAAAACAACTTAAATTATGAATTACAATGAAAAGATAAAGTTTTGAGCTTCCCCTAAAGACTTTTTTTCAGATTTTCTTATGTCAAAATGTTTCACAATTAATATTTTATGGTTTTTAAATAGTTTAGCCAATATAACCAGACAGTTAGTATACTGTTTTTAAACTCTTTGCTTTAAAGGAAGATTGAAACTGATACTTTCCTTTAAAATAATTTTTATTTAGATTTAACTGCTTATTTGGGAAAAAAACAAAAAGCACAGAAAGCTGATCTAGGAACCAGAGATTTGGGGGGGTTTATTTGACCAGGATTGTCCACTTCTTTCTAGGGTCAGGATACAACCGAAAACTGAGAAAATTAAAACTCTGAAGATCAGTACCAAAGCCCTGAAAGAAGGGAAGGGTTTCATACAGGATCTACACCCTGACAGCTCTAGATATGTAACCAGAGCCCAAACTGCTGTGTAAGGAAACCACCTGCTACTGCAAGCAGAAAATAATAAATTGTCCATTTCTACTCGAGCACCTCCAGAGACCATCCTTGTAAAGAGAAAGGAAATGCTCTGGAATGTTTTGGGTTTATATTTGTGTCCCTGCTAAGTCTGGCTTCTGGTTTTCAGATGTGAATTCTGCAGGAGGCCAGTTATGCTCAGACCTGGAGAGAACACTGGGGTTATTCAGCACTTCTGTTCAGGGGAAAAAATCCCTCAGAGACCAGTCAATTTGCATGATGCTCAGAGGTGGTATTCAAGCTAATGCAAAAAAAAGTCCTATGGGAGTTCCCTATTTGTTGTTTGTTTTGTTGGTTTTTTTCCATTTGCCATTATTGTAGCAGTTCCTATCTTGCACTTCTTAATCAATACAATGAACTACTGGTGGATGGACTACTGAGCCAGCTTTCCCCCAGGATTACAGTTTGACAACTTGCATCACCAGTCCTGTTGGGAACCAAGTCTGCAGTTATCCAGACATTTATTTACTCTCCACCTATTTGCCAAGAGAAGATTTCTTTACAGCAGTTGCCACATTAGAAGAAAATGTACCGACAGGGTGACTAAGCAGCATTGTTTCAAATTCCTACATAATGACCAGTATGAGTCAACCTGGCAAATTCCAAAGCCCACAGAAGAAAACTGACATAAAATAGGAAATATAAATAATGCCATTGGGAATGTATTATACAAAAGTTATTATTGCCAGCACCTGAATAAAAAGGACTCTGAATGTTGCCTCCTAACCTCATCTCCCACATGCTAGCTGCAATACCATCTAACTGTAAGGTTTTCTAATCTGTGGCACCAGAATGCAGAGCCTAAAGCACTGCTGACACTGGCAGAACACAGCTGCTTTTCAGCAGGCACCTTCCACAGACCAATTCTTCGAGAAGCAGCCTTAGCTAGATCTTAATTTTACAGACTAGGTGTACTGCAAACACTAGAAACACATACTATGCTGATTCGAAACTAGGTAGATTATTATTATTATTCAGAGCCTTGAAAAATGAAAACACAATTCAAATGGCATATAGAGAGTCCTGCTTTCCATATCTCTGGAAATTCAAGAAAAATATCAACACCTTCACAGAGGTATATGCAGAGTGGGTGACTCCAAATGATGAGTAAGCACACACCTGTAAATGCAGCCTCTCTGGAACCCTGTTGCAGAGTCAGCTCTTAATCTCTCACCAAATTTGACACATTCCCATCACATGAGAAGCTGACTTTTAAGGGAAACCTGCACCCAACACTGCCTGCTCAGCAGCAAGCTAAGAACAAGCACGTCCTCAGGGCAGGGCCCCAACTCTACCCATTGCCTGGCTGTGTCTGGAAGGTTCTTAGTTAGCATGTAAGACTCTTCATTTTGTTTATTTTCACTAGCCTGCCCCACAGTGGTATAAATAAATACTGGTAACTGTCAAGACAGGTGTAGTTTGCACTGTGCTTGAAAAGCAACAGATATTCCAGAAGTTCCCTGTAAAGCTGGCTTGGTGGGATGATAGCTGTTTAACTCCTCACTGCTCTCAAAGTGTCCTGGCTTTTACACACATGCACCCTCTTTTTTTAAAAAAATAATTCCTGTTTGTTTTGCTTTGTTTGCCATGCAAAAACATACATTGAAAGTTTCCTGGCTACTATCTATCTCCTTCAGTAGTAGCCCAAACCATGATGCGATGCCTTATTCAGTTGTTGCAGAAACTAATTCATCCTGGACTTCTGTCCTCCCTAACATTTATCAAAAAAGAACCAATGACTAGCTGAAGGTCAGGCTAAAAATAAAATGAAATCATGCACATATGCCACCTCACCTCATGCCTTGAAAGTGAGTTTGTTTATGGCCAAACTGACAGCAAGCCAAGAACTGATTTTGTTCCTTCTTTAAACAGATCTTTTATGTAACAAACAAAAGCTTCTAAAGAGCAAAGAATATCCAAATACACCCATACACTTTGGTCTACTGAGGATCATCAGTTTAAAGTCAGAAGGATACATGTGGTTTATGACATTCACAACACACCACACCTACTTTTAATCATCTGTAGAAAAGAAGAGGGTTAGCTGGTAAGTCATTCCACCCAGCACTCCTCTGAGTGGGGTTAACATTTACCTTTGGTTAGCAATTCTTCTGCAGCATCAGACATGTCCACACGAAAAAGCAAGTACTGTTGGGCCTCCAGGAGAAGACCTGGAAAGTCTTTTTCAATGGAAGCAAAATGTTCAATCTTATTTTTCACAGATGCCAGCACCTGCCAAAACAACAGCAACAATTAGTTCTTCCAGTGCAGCCACAGACTGACTACTCAGGCTTCCACTACCTGCATTAAAATAGAGTTATGTCAAAAGCTATGGTCATACAGAATTTCCAGTTCTTGGCACAAATGTAATTAAAACACTGAAAAGAAATAAGAAGCTCACAGACAGGTAGGAAAACTACAGGTGAAACTGAAAGAGCTAATGTAAGGTTTAAGAAGGCACCAAAAATACTGCTCCAGTGGGCATGGCTAACACCTGTGGTCAAATACCTGATAAAGTGACCGCACGCTGGGCTGGAACACCATGTTGGTGTTGAGCAGAAAGGAGCGAAGAAGGGGCTGTGGATAACTCGCCAGCTGAGTGATAATCCCAATAAGTAGCAAATTTACATGCAAGGAATTCTCCAGCATGTTCTCCAGCTTCGACAACACTACACTGATGAATGGTCCTGCAAAAAAAATTAGAAGGAACCAATGCTTTCATTTTCACAGAAGAAAAATCCTTAGATCCAGGAAATAGGCATTTAAAAGGAATTTTGATCACCATAACCAACCAATTTAGACCTCCCGCACACTAATTAAAGACAGCAGAGAGAAAAAACAAACTGTAGCTGAGCAGACAAAACAGACTTAACAGAGGTGTTAAAAGCTTTTGTGATTAGAAGCTCATTCACTTGCTACCCAATAATTTACATTAATGGCATATTTAACATGCATAACTATTCTACTTTACATGTGCCAATAAGGATTTGGCTTAGTACATTATGGTCTACCATTCTATTCCTCTTGAAGTTAATTGGAATGGCACTATTAGTTTCAATGCAAACAGAATCTGCTTTTTTTGCTCCTGCTGTGCCTTATTTCTATGTAAGGACTGGGAAAAGTAAATTATAGCTAGCTTGCTTGTCTTATAACAAAAATGGTGTTCTAAAGAAAATATGAAAATGCCTCTGTAAACATTAAAATCAAGAGCCGTGATAGTTCACATCACAAGAAAAGGCATTTTCAGTATTGCAAACAGTCACACAAAGCAGGGAAGATGCTAAAATAGATTTATAAGCAAAATTATTGGTAGACATGAGCTTTATCATATAAATGTCATCAATAAATAATAGCTTTAGTTTGTGTATTCATGCTGCAGGACAACCACTGAAATACAGAAGCATTTACCATGAAAGTACATAAACCCTTAGTGCTCAAGCTTAAGAAACCTTTGCAAAGCTGAGAATAACTTCAACCAAATACCACATGTTGTTAGACCACATGACTGGTGAGATGCCTGAGGAAGTCTGCACAAGAGACCTAATCTCAAATCAAGTCTTAGAAACACCCCTTGTCCCACCCCCAGTCCCACTACACTGTTCAGGATGCCTAAAAGCTTGGGAAACCATGCAGAAGAAACCCTGGGTGATGCAGTTACATGGAATATCCCACCCTCAACCATGGCACAAGATGCATGCCATGGGCATTTCTAGGGTCAGGCAGGTGGCCATAATCCAACCCCATTCCAGCTCCCCTCAGCTCACAGACAGCTACCACAGGAGCTAGCTGCACACAGCAGAGCTCAGTTTAATGTGCCTGCTCTAAACTACAGCAGAGGTCGAGGCAATTCTGGGCCTGTGCAACAAAAAGGATCAAATCAGAAGTGCCCTGCTGCCACTCCACCTAAGAGACCTCTGTTAAAGCTTGGAGGCTGTCATGCTTTACAGCATACAAAGCAAGCACTCCCTCAAGACTCATCTCTTGGGGCTAATGCTGGCACAGCTCTACTCACAAGAGGAAAGGTGGGAGGGAGCTCAGGTTGGTATCACACCCTGCAGGAATCCACCCTGCCATGGTACCCACAGTGGGACAGCCCCAAAAGCTTTTGTTGACATACAGTTTCCTCTGCCCAACATAATCTACTGCTTCCCCTATCATGTTCATAGTGACATTTTCACAGAGCTCCTGAGGACCACAGTGCAGTGGGAGCTCCACTGTATCAAAAAGGATGGCAGAAGAAGGAGTCGACATGTGCCACTGTTTCTCTCCTCTGTGTAACACTTCAAAGGTGACAAGGTAAAGCTGAAGCTAAATACTTGTAACAAGTGCTGCTTGCCACTGCAAGGAGGTTACAAAACAGATTTAAAAATTTCTCAGTGACAGCATGACTTCTACCCCCAAAAAATTATTGGACTGAGAATCAGAGGAAATAAGCAGAGTTTGGAAGCCTTGTAAGAAACAGGGTAACCAGATGAGAAGTCAAAAAATTATTCCTTTCCTAGCCATGAAATCAAGCACTGATACATGGAGAGGGAGGGAGCAAAGTATAAATTCCTGTTCCTGAAAACCACCTTCTTTCTTGCTCAGGAGAAAATAGGGATGATAATGCTTAACATTTTTACATTGGATATAAGACGCCAATAGAACATTTTCTCCATAGATCCATAGAAGATAGCATCTTTGCACTGCTGACACATACTAGGCATGGGAACCTCTGTCAGGCTATTTGATTCTGCAGAGAGAAGCCCTGTGCCATGGCAGCATCCCAAAACAGTAAAAGGAACCTAAAAATCTTTCTCAAACACATCTGCAAAAATAATCCAGCATTCCAAATTAAATCATGAATCATAGAATGGTTTGGGTTGGAAGGAGCCTTAAAGATCAAGTTCCAACCCCCCTGCCAAGGGCAGGGACACCCACTAGATCAGGTTGCTGTCTTTGAAAGGCCCTGCAATCTCAAGATTTCTGAGGCAGTGTCACGAGCATCTCCTTACATGCAACCGCTAGGATCTCCCTTAAAGCAAGGTAAAAGGCCTAAGAGTAAAACATGTTGAGGATGGGGAGCAAACAGTGAGGCTTTTTGTGTCTAGCTTTTTGGCAGGGGGTGGTTTTGATGTCGGTTTTTGGAAAGGCACAAATGGAGGGAGGGACTAGGTGAAGAATGAGAGACAGACAACATTTTTGAGCTACATTTGACAGCAGATAATGGAAAACAGAGAGATTTGAATGTGATTAGCTTCTGGTACAAGGAAATTGTCACCACAACAAAAATAGCACATTGAAAAACAGGCTGAATTTTTCAATTAAGAAACAGTGCCAAGCACTCTGGCCACAGCTGACCAGAAAGGGCTGCTTTTCAATGAACACATATTTTCCCCCTCCAAATAAACAAGCAGCCATCTTAAAGGGGTTTGGTTTTGAATGAGGAAACCTATATAGATTACTATTTTTTTACTATTTTCATTACTCTGGTATCTAGGAGACCTAATTCAAGATCAAGAGCCCACAGTGCAAGGAGATGCATAAATACAGATCTACAGCCCACTCTGACCTCCGGTAGCATTGTCATTCCTGAATAGCTTGGACAGCCAGCAGAGCCCAAGCTTACATTGCTGCCTGGCAGCAGACAAAGCAGCATACCAAGAGGGAGGGCAGACCTGACACTGAGAACAGGATGGTAGGGCAGAGCATGGAGACAGGCACGGACAGACATGGCACCGGTGCTGCCACCACGTGCTGCAATGTGGAACAGCAGAGAGGGGAAAATGGCACTGTGATTCCACAGCCATCGCATCAGCATTGTCACCAGAAAAATAAACTATTCAGCTGGGCTCTGTGTATTAGGACAGCTACTCCAAACCCCTTTCAACTGAAAAAACCTCCTCTAGAGTGATGGTGCTCTCACATGCAAACAACAAAACACATTTCAAATAATTGCCAAACAAAAGCAGCCAAAAGAACCCCTCCAAAAACTCAGACATCATTTGCTGTCAACACACTGATGGTTCTGCTGTACTTTAACGTGAGATGTCTCACTCTCCTTGGTCTCTTGGTCTCAGCTATTTGGGCTATAACCTCATTAGTGCCAGGGCTGTTCCTTGCTCTATGCTTATGCTATTGGCTGCACAGTATGAACTCATTTGGCCACCTTTAACCACCATGTCTTCCTGTATTTGTTATTTATGTAATTAACAGGACATTCCACCTGTAAATGGAACGCTCTGACTCCTCGAAGTGTGTTTAGGAGAGCCATCCTCCTTTGGTCCAAAGGGAGATGGCATGCTCTCTGCAGAAGGGGTGTCTGCTGAGAAATTCTCAAAGTCCTCTTCCTCTTCTGCTGGAGAGACAGGGTCAGGAGTATCCAACTTCTGCTCCTCCAAGCTTGTGCTGTTTGGATCCAGTTCCTTAATAATTTTGTCATACTGTGCAATGAAATCCTCACCATCTGTGCTCAGCAGTCTTACACTTAAGTTACAATCTGCCTCCTGAGAAGAAAGCTTCAACTCCAAGTCTGGCTGTGGATCAATCTCAGCCATTTTCTGGTTTATTTGTTCTTTCATTACACCTTGAGTTGAGCTTGAATTTCTCTTACTGTGCTCATCCAAGTCCATTTCCAGCTGGGTCTTTGCAAGAGGCCCATTGATTACTGTCTGGCTTTGCACCTCATGTTCTCTGGCTGCATTTAAAGTTTTCTCCTTGGAGCTGTCATCATCTTGAGTATCCTTCTGGGCGCATAACCTGTAAACCATAACATCATCCTGAAAGTCTGATTCCTCTATGTAAGAACCTTTAATGAGCATAATGGCATTTTTTTTCATTTCTTGAATGTGTTTTGGTGGCTCTGCTGGTGGCTGCATTTCTGCGCTTCCCAGATCATCATACGCTTGTGGTGAGCTCACATTAGAACCAGGAGAAATTCCTGTGTCATAGCTATCATCCCATTCTAGCTCCAACTGCATCTTCTCACTGCATGGAGTTACTTGAGAGGAGCTACATGTGCTAGGTGTCCTTTGCTGGAGCCGAAACATGGGGTGTTCCACATCTGTACTGTTCTCCTCAGCAAGTGTTTGGATAAAGGTGTCTGGATCAGGGTTTACCCCATCATACAAAGCAGACCAAACCTTACAATCTTTCAAGCACTGGAGGATGGCTTCTTGAGCTTCCCCCAGGTACTGCAAGTAGCTGATGTCCACAGCTCTTCCATATTCCACGATGCAAGCAGATTCAGAGGAGCGTCCACCAGGATCTGCAAGTGAAGATGACTCATACCATGAGTAGTATATCAAATTTTCTCTAGAAAGGCATCCACTAAAACATTGCAGGTAGAGTTTTTAACCCCAACCATCCAATAAGGCAGGAAGACCAAAGCATAAAGATGCTCATAAACATACATGACTTGTTCCTATTGCAAAGACAGAGCAGTAACTCAAGATTTCTGAGAGGAGCTCAAATTCAAACCTTAGACTGGCAACCACTCGGAAGCAGCAAGAGTTGCTGTCATGTATCTGTACATTATTTTCATGAATACATATTCAAGTTGGATAGCTGTCAAAATAAGGTTTCGATAGACCTGGACACATGGAAGAAATTAAATAAGCTTTCTAGTCCAAGCTTGCCCAGTTTACTGTTGCCCAACACATTTTCTCCCCCTCCCATTCTCTCCCACTTCCTCCCATGAGGTGCTACCAAATCAAACTCGCTTAATGATCTGGTCTTCCCAAGCACCACTTACCTTTAGTTTGTGCTGCTTTTGTCCATAGGATATAATCTTTTCCTTGGCTTTCAAGTGTCAGAGTGATTCCAGTGGTGCAGCAGACTGGTGTCAGGGCCAGCAGTTTTGCAGCAGATACAGAATAGCAGTCTCTCTCTTTCACAGCACGGCGCTGGCTCAGCATCATGTGGTTGCATGGGATCAGATACCTGAAACAGCAGTGTCTAGCATTACTTATTATCCTTTCATCTTAGAGAAAGCAACAACCTATAAAATTCTCTTCCCACCCTCCTGCCTTCTCCAAATTAAAAGAAACAGTAACAATAACATTTACAGCAATCCGTTTTCTAAACCTCCCTGGAGAATGAAGCTCTGACTCTTTACATTGTGATGCTTGGTTTGATGAGGAACTGTCAAGACAAGTAGAGAGAGGAGACGAGTTGCATCACAACAGGGAAGTGAACAATCCTTTGCAGGTCAGAGCAAACCTGCTGTAAGAAAGTATGGGGGGAGTGCACGATGGGCAGATGTCAAAGGTCATCAGAATGCTTTGGTCCAACTACGAGTGAGCTCTGTCTCAGAATCCTCAATTTGTTTTCCTGGGAAATCCAGAGAGAGACAGTTTATGCTTGCCAGGCAAGCAGCCAGCAAAAAAGATGGAAGGGTCATCAAGGTGTTTTACTGCAATAGATCGAGACTGAGCTCTCAGGCAGAGGATGGAAGAAGCTATGGAGAATACAGGAACAGAGAAAGCACAGTCCCATGTTGAACTTCTTTAGAGCACTTTTGGTTTACTTTTAAAAGGCACTTTATTAAGAGCCTCAGGTTAACTGGATTGATGTTTTGCCATTTAAAATACAAACAAATTCTAAAGGATTCCTTAAATAAACAAAAAGAAGCCTAACCACAGCACTCTGCTAGTGGAGTGGTGATATGAATTCACAAAGATCCAAACAGCATTCTCAGGCACAATAGCCAGAACGATATGGAATTTCACCTTAATGCCTGTGTGTGGAAACACAGATGACCTGGAACACTCATGTGATCCACAGTGCTAAAAGCCCAAGTTAGTTACACCATTATTTCCAAATAATCAGTTCTCATCTAATATACACACCTTGATTATAAGTATCTTGAATCAATGTATAGAACCACCAGTTAAAACCAAAAATAATCAAAGCATTTAGTACATTACATAAAAATCTACCTATAATAGTTCAGGAACCCGAAGTATTCTCAGTGAGAGTGGAATCAAAGACGAGGAAGCAACAAGAAAGAAGGTGGAAGCTGCAAACAAGTATCACAGAGCATAATAGACTAAAGGAAACATGCAGGAGAGAAGAATTACACATTTAGAAGCAGGGAATAAGAAGTTTGGAGGTGATAAATATATTCTTAGCTTCTCTTCTCTCACTTTCATAGAAATAAATCACAGGAAAAATCTCTTGCTCTGAAGATCTTGGGATGTAAATTACACTTCGTTAGGTCTGGTGGACTTTTGTCAGGATCATAAATATTCTTCTCTCTGTAGTTGCTTGGATTTCTGCTCTCTTGGAGAGCTTACATCCAGCTCTGCATCCATAGGCAGAGACCATATGTCCCAGAGTTAGGATGAAGAATGGGAAAAGGAGTTTGGGCTTTACCTTAAAACAAGCTGTAACATCACATCTTCACAATGCAAGCCAATGAGTGTTCTGAACAATGCCAAGGAGACCACACAGAGCTGGAAAATAAATGTTGTCAGTTTTTGATCTGGAAATTGTATCTTTCCAATCTTCCCTGCATACTACACTACAAAATGGCTCTGCCAGGACATCATGCTTTATAAGACACGCTTTGCATGATATTTCATTTTGGCAGCACCCCATGGGGTTTTTTTTTACAAGTTGTCTAGAGCTATACATAACATATTACATTTTAACAAAATACAATCCAGAATTTTCCTTCAAATAAGCTATTAAAAAAACAATAATTTACCAGTCTTAAATACTATTCAAGTTTATTAATTTAACTTAGCATGAGCTGAAACCTGTCCCTTCCGATACAGCGTGTTAGTTTTTACCTAACTAAAGGTCTTTTACTAAAGGTCTTTTACTAAACTAAAGGTCTTTTCTGAAAGAAAAGTTATAAATTACCTCAAGTTTCTGTTGCTTTAAGCATAAGGAATGATTACTGTTCTGCACATTAAGAAGCTGAATGGTTCTAGAATAGCTTAATGTACTGACACTGACCAGAACAAAGTCATTTTGGTCAGAATCTACTCCATATGGAATGTTCATAATCCCTCTATTACAGGTCACTTAACAGCTCAGAACTATGGCAAGGCACAAAGATCCTTTCTGTGAGACCAGGAGAATGGATAGGATTCCTCATAGGAATTGCATGCTTGCCTTTTTGCCAAAGGTCTGATCAAATATCCCTGTAACTAGGTATTTCAGTAGTCACACTCAGCAGAGACAAAAGTCATACCCACTCCGTGACAGGCACTCCACTTCCACACTGGTTTTACATCAGGCTAGAAATATGGACTTTTCTACAGGCTTGTTTGGTCATTAATTAGGCATACAACACTTTCAAAGCTATCCTACAGTACATTTTTACCTGCCAGTCACTTGCTAGATGGCAGTTGTGCCCAAAGTGGTAGAAGCATGAGCTGTAAGCTTTCACAGACCACACTATTCTTGTACCCCTACTTCTCAACATGTATTTCCTTGGGCATGTTCGCCTGGGCTGGTCTCTCATGAAAACAGTATCTTACAGGAGGCTTGGACTCCAAGACCAGGCTGACTCCTGTGAGAATTATTTAGCATAAATTGACCCTTTCCTGAAGTTACAATTCGGTGTTTGAATCTTGTCTCTCCCTATATTAATTATGTAAACTCAAATAACTAATATATGAAATTAATTGCACTTTCCAGTAGCTAACAAAATGAACAGATTAGGACAAAATAAGAAAAAAGCTACAGATATTTCTTGATCTCATTTTTTCAGTCACTGAACATCATTTGTAACTCATTCAGGATTAATGATTAATATGATCAGCTGTCCATGGTGACCAAGACCAGATGAATGCATGGATTTCTTAAACTATATATATGCATACATGTATCTCCCCTAACTTGCTAAGTATCGCTGTGAAACAGTTAAATAACGAAGTTTAAGTGAACCTCAGTTGATAAGTCTCTGAAAAATGAAAGTTTTTTTGACTGCCTTTCCTAGTTTGGTCATTGAACACCCACAGAAGTACAAAAGAAGGAGAAAAAGCAGAGAGAAGTGGAAAATGCTCATGAAGTGACCTGGTGTGAGGCAAAGCAGAGCTCAAACTTGTTGCTCTGCCACCGCTCTCCACTGCTTTTACTAAGAGTCAAGAGATAGTCCAAGACTTCATGTCTTTAGATATAGATGGAGAAAGTAAAATGGCAAGAGAGGAAGAAATACCCAGAACTGGAGTTCTTAATGTGAACACAAGGGCAGAATTGAAGAGCTTCACAACAAGCCTTTGGAAGAAGTCTGATCCCTGCATGAAAGGTGCATTTTAGGTGGCAGAGGGACATGGGAGAAAAAGAGGAAATCTCATTTCCTCTGTGAAATTTACAGAGAGCCAAGTCTAACTTTCTTCATGCCATGAAAGTTCAAAAAAAACCTGCCTTAAATTATCTTGTATTTAACAAATTTCAGTTTATAGGAAAACATTAGTCATTTGCCTTGCAACCATATGGCAAAATAGGAATCTTCTGAATACATAAAACTAGTCTGTTTTTGTATTTTGTAAAAAGGTAAGATTTCAAATACATTCGAGAGACAAAGAGGATAGTATTGTCCTAAGTCCTTTTGGGCATCTGTTCATATAAGTTTAAACCTGTGAATTATTAATCAGTATTTTCATCAATAATAATGTATGCAGCTTTTGTGCCACGGAAACACACAGAAGGCTGCAGTTCTGGCTTTTGCACTTGGCCAAGCTATACTGCAGAAAACTTTAGCACCACAGAACCATTTTGGCTGAGATCCTGAGTTGCTCAGGGCTGTAGAATTCTTTACAATTCTCATCTCATTTGCCTAAGGAGCAGTAACTAATGATTAACAGAGACAACAGCTTTTGCATTTTTGAAGACAGAAGCTGTTTCAGTTTTCAGAGTCAATCCATCTCAGAGATGCACAAACAGCAGCACATATTGATATTTGCAAGGACTTACATTTCAAAACAATGCTCAGATGATGCTACTGTCCCTAACACAAATTTTATGCACATGCTGGTGTTCTGGCTTCTCCAAAACATTATTGCACATTCTAAACATTCACTTGCACTAAAACATTATTCTTAATTTCATGCACAGAGCTGCGCGTCACCCAAGAGTGAGCCAAGGCTGCAAGCCAAGCAAGGCTCAGGAAGGTTACCAGTGCAACAAGCAGTCAGGTTCTCAGCCAGAAGATCCAATTTCTTAGCAAAGGGAACTACTCTCTCTGTCAGCTGGCCCTCCAGCCTCTGTGGTGCACTGTGCCTAGGCTGAGAAGGGGTCAGTGCAGATCTGAGATAAACCTTACTGCACAGGGAAGTGAAAGCAAAGAAAAGGGAGCAGCAGCCTGATCACCTGAACAAGAAAGCACGTTCTTTTAACCAAAGAAAGCAGGTCCTGATCACCTGAACAAGAAAGCACGTTATTTTAGCCAAAGAAAGCAGGGAATGTCATAGTTCAGTAAACATGCTACAATAATACAGACTAGATTCCTGAGAACACATCAGCAATATCGCAGTGAACAACTGGGATCAATTTGGAGACATCCTTACAGGGCCCCCATTGCTTCCCCAGAAGGACTATTTGCAAATGCCTGTTGCTTGGCAAAACTCCAAAGATCAAAAATGCTCCTCACGACAAGTGTATTTAGTGCCAGGGAGAGTTACCAATGATAGCACTAATCCAGCAGTGTTCAGAATAAAAATGCTTCCAAATTTACCTTTTATCTTCTAACAGAATTCAAACTTCCATAAGCCTTCATCTCCCTCTATCCCTTTTTCCACATGTGTGAAACCACTTCACATGTTTATCAACTTTGTACAGTGGTAGCTAAATGTTATAACACATCCCAAAGAACTGAGGGGGTGGAGAAATCACATCTTTGGGAGAGGGGAAGAAGATTCCTAGGTAAACAGGTACCCAGCTGTAACATACGGAATATCCAATTAAAATATTTAACCTACATCCATGCTGAGTACCTGAACTTCCTTTCTGCTTGCCTTACCCGGAATGGTGTGTTGATCCTGCTAGTAAGTGTATCTAGGATATGCACATTCTCGTGTCGGTGCAGCAAAATGAAGCGGAGGAAAATCTTGAGGAGAGCTGGCTCAGAAACACTACGCAAGAACAGATCCAGGTATGCAGTAGTGGTCATCACTTCTTCCACAGTCACCTACAAGCAAAAGTAAAGCAAAAGTAGTGTAAATGCAAACATACTGGACACAACAAGTATCCATCCATCCATCCATCCATCCATCCATCCTCTACAAGTGTGAATCTGGCAAACACTCTAAGTTCTCCAGGCATAACACTGCCACAAAAACGCTGAGGTCTTTGCTCTTAAATTTGCAGACCATGCTTCTGAATGCCTTGCAAACATTTGGAACCCATTTATTATCTGTCTTGCTTCCCCAGGAATAAGAATCCTCCCCCAAAATCTGAAACCACAAATCTCACACCTACTGAAAATCAAAGAACCAAATCATGCTAGAAGATCCCCACCACCTTTCTGCCCACGTCACCTCTTTTGTATCACACTTCTGTCATCTCTCAGCAGCATTTTTAAATGTTGTGAATACATGCATCTATCACTTAATTAAAAATAAATGTCAGAGCACAATCAAAGCACAGTACAAAGTCATGGTCCTAGAGCTTTAAAGAAAAAACCCTCATAGATGTCCAGAGTTGTGCCACAGCACAATTTCTCAACGTACTCAATTTTTACAAGGAGTATGTATGAACCTATATACACACATAAAGCTAAACCCAGAATCTTCACTACTGACTCTGAGTAGATCAAAATAGAATTCAAATATCCATGTGACATTTGCATACCATAACCCATGCTGCTCTGTTTATTGCAATCCCCTGGAGACCATCTATTCACAGTATGCACTGTCAAAGCACAGAAAATTCCAAAGCCCACCTCTGTGCAGCTCTTGCCAAGTCAGCTTTTTTCAGTTACCCAGGAACCTAATAAGCTTAAGTGCATAAAGATAAACCCTTAAATACAAAAATCTGCCTATATGAAAGGAAGTATTAAACATCTTTTGTTTACCAAACTGAGCTGGATAAATGAAAAGACTGATTTTATTAAATAAAAAAATAAAACCCCAAAGCTGTCACTTAAGAGCTAAGAGGATTTAGAAAATACTCAGAAAGGCAACATTTACGTAACATGCTGTAAATATGAAAATCCCTATCCCATTATGCTGCATGTTAGCCATGTACACAGTAATGTCATGATGCAAACATTCTCTTTAAAGCATTTAAGATCACAAGTTGCTTCTAGCTGGTTACACAGTACACAGGAATGGGGTGTGCAGCCTGCAGACCCTGTGGAGAGAGAAGCTCTAAAGTTAAGGTCATTGAATCACTCTCAGTCTCAGGTTTTATTCTAGTACTCAGCTACACCATCCTTAATAACCAGCTACCAGCTTGTTTTGGCATTAGAAACAAAACACCAGTGAAGCAGCAACAGTCCAATTTTTCATCCGGTAATAGAAGTTCAGCTCCAACTAGAAAAGCTTTTTTTTTCCAATAGCCAAAATGTGTGGGGACTTGTGGTCTAAAAAAGAATGGCTTTCCGATCAAAGTTTGCGACTGTTGCCCTGAGAACTGGTTGGGTTTTTTCCTTTTCCTCTTTTTTTTTTTTTTTTTTTAACAGCAGTGAGCCGTAAAAAGCAAAGCCTAAGAAATCCATCATGTGACATCATTATGATAGCATAGAGTTCATTGACAAGTTTAAACCCTCTGCCAAGCAAAGGCCAGACAGAAGCAATACATCGTTACGTCTCCGTGTCACTTCTTCATCCTTTATGGGGAAAAGGAAGCACGTTCTTGGCCTGCAGGGTTCACAGATGTTTGCTGACAGCACGTATATGTATAAAATACTGAAGCTGTAAATGAAAGCAAGAAAAGCCAGCAGATTCACAAGGGCAGTGACCTTCTTCTGAAACCGAAGCTCTTTGGGCAACTCATCCTACATTTCTATCAGTGAGAGAAATTCATATGCTTTTCAAAGTGCATATCATGAATGAAACAAAGAGCAGAAGAAAGTCAGTTGGAGACTACTCTAGAAAAGAAATGCTGAGTTCTGAGTTCACTGCTCCTAACAGCTTGGAAACTAGACAAAAAAAGAGATCTTGTTTTATAGCCAACACTTCACTGATACCACTAAACAGAGCTAGAAGAACCAACCAATGATTAATGAATCCCCAAACGGTTCACAAAGAAGTAACATAATCTTGTTAAATCTTAATTGTTTGAATTGAGGGGGTTTTGTGCAGGGTACCACATTACACTTAATTTTTAGTTCTTGGGAGAAATGTTGCTGAATCTGCTTAACTATGTTGAAAGAAAGAGAGAAGATGTCTAAGTTTCGTCAAGATTTAAATGGATTTGTAAGAATCTTTTTTTCATTAGTCAATGAAAATATACTGCCTTAGCCACAACACTCCTTCAAACTTTCTCAATAAATGAGGATAGGTCTACTTTGCAGCTCACTGTGCAACACTCAAAGTAGGCAAGTTAATGCTGTACAAGTGAATTCTAATACAATTGTGTTCTAGAGGTTTCAGTGCTCTCTTAGTGTGCCTTTGTGTGCAACTGGTCCATACAAACCAGCAAAGAGACCATCCTTCTGCTTCCTTGCAAGAGCAAATCAAACTAAAAAATTGCTTTTGGACATTTAAATGAAAGCCATGCAGGCATCTTAGGAAAAACATCAATTAACCTGGCAAGCAGATGTCTGTGCTTTTACAATTATATCTTATTTTGCCACCTTGCATTCTGGGCTTGCTTCTCCCTTTTAGCATATCTGACAGTAAGTGTAACTTCTGAAGATTTGAGGCACCTAGAGAAGTATTCAAGAAAGCAATTTTAACTCCATGAGGCTAATTTTCCTTTTACTCAACGGGATACATTAGTCTGCTCTGATTGAGCCTCTAGAGAACTCACTCTTTTTGCAATTAACTAGGGAAGGACATTGGAGGAATTAGTTACACTAGGCAAAACCCACCCTTGGCAAAAAGCCTTTTAACTCTGCACACTTTCTCTGTGGATCACATCATACATATTACATCGAGTGTAGAAAGTGAGACTAGTTCAATTTGTGCAGTTATTACTGAAGATCTCTGTTTTGTAAGATACCAAAGCCATGCTATTAAGCTTCATTCAGACTACCTGCTCATTGTCTCTTCTTAAA